ATAAAAAGTCATAGCATAGTAAGGCATAAAATGTTATAGTGCAATAAGGCATGAAAACGTCAAAAAATGTTATAGATTAGTAAGGCATACAAAGTCATAGTATAGTATAGGTTTGTTACGTTTCATTAATGTAATGTAAAATAACGTGCCACCCAAACAAATATAAATAGGTTTCAAATGTAGTTTTATTACATTTTCAGGGCTCAACATCCATAATGAACATAAACCACTGTGTAAATCAACCTCTTCTCTACCATCCTTTAAATGTACAAGAAAAAAAAAAAAAAAGTAAAGATGATCAGCAATCAATACTGATGTCTAACACAGGTTCAGAGAGGGTACATAATTTTATTATTAACACATTTTGGTTGTTTCTTTCTACTAGCGTCACTACAGGGAGCTGGTTCCTGGAGATATGACCTGAGAGCTAAGGTAGGTTTATGATGGATGTGTAGGTGTGTGTGTGTGTGTGTGTGTGTGTGTGTGCGCGTGCGTTTGTAGGTTGTGTTTAAAGAACGGTTTCAGCACAGGAATCACCAAAGTGAGCGTGCAGGTTTCTGTAAAAGTCTCTGTGTATTTCAGGTGGTGGGGGGTTATTAGGGCGGGAAAGGCTGTGCTGTTGTTGTTTGGAGTAGAGTCCAGATTCCTCGCTGTCTGACTCCACCTGGATGCTGACCATGGGCATGGGCGGGCGAGGTGGCGGCTGCGGCGGGTGCAATGGAGCGGCGTCCCCGGGGGTGAGGCTCGTCTGGGAGTGGACAGGTGAGGGGGGGCAGGAGATCTTCAGGTGCAGAGTGATGCTGAGGAACAGTGGTGGAACCGGCCAGGTTACACTTTTACTCTCCATCACACACACTCGGCTGTCAGTTTATTAGGAACACCCAGCTCAAACTAACACAGTCTAACAACAGTCCTGCTGTAAATCCTCCTTCACCAACGTTGTGTTCAACAAACAAAAACACAATACACAATCAACAACAGCACAAACGACATCTGTTAGACACTCACAGTGATGAATCAACACAATTTCAACACAAACCGAACATTATAACTAACATTCATGAAGGAGGATTCAGGACTGTTGCATTAGACTGAATCAGTTTGAGCTGGGCGTTCCTAATAAACTGACAGCTGAGTGTCAGGGACACATAGACAAGTTCAACAATACACACATGTTCTCTTTTATGAGACATTCCTTTAAAAGTGGAGATGGTGTGATTTTCTGTGTGGCAGCGTTGAAGGTGCAGCGTGTTGCATGGGGGAAAAAACACTTTAATTTACTGTTTATGTATCTGTGAATTACTGAAGAGGGCGCTGTTCTTCAAGCTTAACAAGAACTAAAACTGTCAGGGATGAAATTGCAACAGGGAAAACTTAGAGCAAATGGGATCAAATTTTCTATGCAAAAAAAAATAGCACATTTCAATTTGGAGTAAATCCAATCAGCTTCATTAAAGTGACTGAAATTAAACAAAAAATAGAAACTAGAAATATGGAATAATATAATACAAATGTTACTGGTCAAAAGTTGTGTTCTTAAATCGAAGTTATAGTTTTTCTCCACTGTTTTGATGCATTGTGAGAAATAAAATAGACGAAGACAGAAACTGTGTTAAAGGCTCCAACATCACATCCTGGTGTCTAAAGAGAAAATAATGGAAAAATAGAAAAAATCTATGAGGTGAAGACAGAAAAAAAAAACTTCACATCACACCAGCTGTGATATTCTCTTCAGTTTGTCTGAATTTAACACGAGGCTTCAGGTGTCTGAGTTAAAATAAGTGGGAATCTTCCACAGTTACAGACTTTTCAAAATAAAATTCCCTTGTTGTTTTTCCCTGGACGGATGATGAAGCCTCATGAAAGCTTCACATAAAGCTCTGGATTACTTTAGAAAAGGTTCTTTATTTCCAATCAGAACCGATGGAGAACCTGTCACGACGTTCATATGACAGTATGTGAAGACACCTGCAGTCTTTGAGCAGTCAGCAGAAGAGCATCAAACCAGTGGAGAAAATCTGTAAAACAGCAGCGATAAACACAAACTGATGTTCAACTTCTAAATAGTTTTCTCATTATTTTAACAATCTGGTGAAAAGCAAAGCGGCAGACGTGAACTGTCCTGGGATCAGACTGTATAATTCAGCAGCCGTGCAGGAACACTGTGACCTGCCAACACCTGCACACAGACTGGACATGAATGAAATGAAGAAATGTAAAATGTTCTGTCTGACTGTGTTTTCATAAGGTTCTGTTCTACAAACAGCAGAGCAACAGTTTAAAAGGGGAAACGGATATTTTCAAAAGAAACAACCAAAATCCCGTCATGGTGAAAAACCTCTTACACAATCACAATGAAGTGGACAAAAGATTCAAAACACCTCAATCACACATGAACTACATCCTCCGTAACTCAAGAAACCCAACATTAAAACCTTCATGAAGGAGGGTTTATTACAGGACGGTTGTTTTAGACATAACAACCTGTCAACAGTGACGGACACAATTTTTCATCATCATCATCATCATCATCATCATCATCAACAGGGGACAGGCTTTGAAACAAGACCCTAACCCTAACCCAGGTGGTTAAAGATTAACAGTGGTGTAATTATATTTATTCATCTTCTGAATTTCGTCCTTGTTGCCTATAAAAAGTCTAAATCTGCCACAGCCGGTGTATTTTACACATTCTTACTGAGTAAAATCAGGCGTCACCTGCTCTTATTGTTTGTATTTTTGCATTTTTAAACAGCAGATGTCTGAGTCTGGATCTTAATGTGTCTGATCTTTTGTTTGTGTCTCGCAGAAACAGAGAAGAAGAGGCTTCTTCTTCTCTGTTTTTATTTTATAATAACTCCCTGAACAAAAAAGCTTCAGGGTTTCAAACTCTAAAAAAAATCTACAACATGCATCAGAATACAGTTATAAAACAACTGTCCTGGACTCCAGTCTTTACTTGTCTCTAACGCACGTTGGTTGCCACAGATGAAGATTCATTTTAGCTCTTGTTCCTCTCACAGCCAACACAGTCACACAACTATAATTTACATAAACAGCAGAGATAAATGACACATCCTCCCGACACCTGCTTCACTTTCAGGTGCACGTCTCAGCGGCAGGTCAGAGAGAGAGAGATCATCCAGACGCAGAACATGACACATTTCACAACTGAGAACACTTATCGTAATAATCTGTCTGGATATGCCAGGACCTACAGTGATTCAGTTACAGACACAACAGGAGACTACTGGTGCTAAAGTACAGGAGGGAGCAAGAGCAGAGGTTTTCACACTGTGGAGGGAGAGAGGTGTGGGAGACACTGAGTGGGATGAAAAGAACAGGAAGTCACGTTATTGTAGTTTCATATTTGTCTGGTTGATTTTTCTGCCTGTATCACAGTCAGCTCATGGAGGAGTTTGATTTTTTTTTTTAATAATAACTAATAAAATAAAATAAATGTAATGTTAGATTCATCCATCGCAAATAAAGGTCTTTAAATCCACTTAAAAATCACAGAATAAAGACGCTAATTGTAAGTGAGAATTTCCACATTTTGACGGTGGTCTGAACGTTCATGAGCTCGCTGCAAACTGGGTCGACTAATAGCTAATTCAGCAGACTTTTAATGGCCAATTTGCAAACATGTAAACAAATATAGGCAAAAAACAACATGCTGAAGCTGATAGTTTATAGACGGGGGAGGGGGTGATGGGTGGGGAGGGTCTTGATTTGGTCGCCTCCACAGTGTCACACTTTGAAAACCTCTGACCTAGAGTATGAGTGTGTACAACTTACTGAGTATTCATGCACTGCACTGTACACAGTACTTTCTATGCAGGTGCACTGATTTCTCTCCTATATAACCTACTGTACATGCCTGCAATGTAAAAACAATGTAAGCAATTCAAAATAGTCTATGTTTAAAAATAAAACGTCTAAAATCATCATCAAACTTACATATAAATACAAGTGATGCAGCAAACTGAGCAGTGTGTGTGTGTGTGTGTGTGTGTGTGTGTGTGTGTGTGTGTGTTGTAACTATGTGTTTAGTCGCCTGGAGGTGACGGTGCTCTGGTCCCAGCCAGTGTTTGTGTCAGGTGAGTTAAGCAGATCACTGAAGGGCACGTGCAGTTTCAGCACACAGTACCTGCGGTCTAGTTCGTTCTGATCAGATGTGACCGTCGAGTACGGGTTCATCTCCTGTAGGGAAACACAAACACACACAAACACACACACGCGCGTGCACACACACACACATAGAGAACATATGCACAAAACAAAACAAGTATTCACAGGCGTGTAAACACAGTTCAACACAAATACAAACACAAACACACAGAGAGATAAAGATGAACAAGAGATCACCAATCTGTTGCATGATCTTCACATTAACCGTCATATTTATAATACAGTAATTAATAATCATTAATACATCTTTAATACAATAAATACAGTGGCTGTTTACAGGCACATCAAAAAATGTGATTATTTGCATAATAATCTGAGGAGAGTGTGAACATGGTGTTTGTGTCACATCAAGTTGAATTATTTAATTTGATTATTAACAGCTGCCAGTTATTTGCATCAATTTACATTCGAATTCAAAAAAATGTATGAAGACAATTAATTTTTTGTTGACTAATTGATTAATCATTGCAGCTCGTTGCTTTCTTACATGATTTATTTTTGCTTTAAATGAAAAGAATGAGTAAAAAAAAAAACATCACACATTGATGGTTGTGAAAATTTTTCTTTTCTATTTTTTCTTATTCTTTAAAAAACAAAAAAAAAACAAATGTTTACAATGTTTAATTAGACAATTATTCCCTTCAGGATAATAATAATTTTAATTTTATTTATTTATTTTCTTTAATGTAATAAAAAAATAACCTGATTTCAATGTATGCAGTGGTAGTTACAGCTCTGTATGTTATTAAAAAGTTATATAAAAATGGAACAGAAGCTGCAGGGTTGGACTATATGAATAAAAATGGTTATGGTATAATAAATATTCATGTCTGATATAGTTAATTAAATCTGGAGAAATAACAGTGATACAGTGCAGCTGATCTCTCTAATATCAGTTTTATCATCATGTTCACTAAACTCTTTTTTATTTTCTCTTTGTTTGTTCAGATCTAAAACAGCAGCTCATTGTTTTCCTGACCTTTAACCTTGAAAAACTTCATGGACCTCATGATCTTGATGAAACAGTGATGCGACATGAAAGTACACTTTCGTTTACAGGACAAACATCTGAGTCCCATTATTGTATCTGATCAAAGGGAAGTTCATTTAAAATTAAAATAAATTTAAAAGTGTGTAAGTTTTGTATAATTCACAGATTTGCTCACAGTCACATTTTTGTGTGTTTGTAAAAGCAGCCAATATGAAAAAGATTCACCCACTGTCATTAGCAACATTAGCTCGTTTAGCTCGTTTAGCTCGTTCCATCTGACACATTCGGTGAAAGGCATCGAATGTTTAAAACACAAATCAAACGAGAGGTGGAGCAGAGGGTCGGTGTACTCACATTCAGAGGTCTGGTTTTGGGTGGGGGGGCTAACATGGGAGGGGTCTGGCTCTGTGTGGGGCTCTATGGCCTCCATGGGGATCTTCACTGGAGGGGGGGCAGAGCTGTTGGGCTGAGGGACAGAAACAGGAAGCAGTTGGCATGCAGGACAAACTGGGACCTTAAAGGACAAGGACAGACGTCTTCTATATTTTTGTTATAATAAAAATATAATATTTCCTGTGAGTCACACTGTTGGTGCCTCAAATACTCACTACAGCACCAAATGTGGATTAATCCGCCGCTGAAAATAGTCCCCAATAAATACACTATTTCCTCCTTTTTCTTTAATAGAAAAGTAGTATTGTTTAAAAGTAAAGTTAAATATTTGTGATGTGTTTTTAAAGATTTACTGACAGCTGTGATCTGTGAGGAAACAGAAAGCTGTGTGTCAACATCCAGTTTTAGTTAAACCTCCCATGTCGAGTATAAACTATAGAGAGAAATGCTTGAGAGAAAGGAACCAGGAGTCTATGGTACTTGTCAATAGACTGATTGTTCCCGTTAGCAGCCGAGCTAACAGGCTTGCTAACTGAGAGAGCTTTTGTCCGTCCTCTTAATTTACATTTACAGTAAGAGCTTCTGTGCCACTTTCTGATGTGAACAGCCTTTAACACAGTTTTGTTTTTAGGATTTATTGACATTAACAGAAATACAGAACAGCGCCAGCCTTGTCCTTTAATCAGAATCATCTCTGGACAACACCACAACTCGGTTCTTTGGATGAGGACTGAAACAAGGACGAGAATGGGGACAAAGACGCTAACGGAGTTCCTACAGTGAAGGAAACCGAGGGAGGACAGACAGAAAGACAGTAGTAAGTGTTATACAGTGCCTTTTCAGCAACACTGTGGGACAGAGAGGAGAAACATACAGTATTAGTCACACACAACAGATGGAGCGAGACACATTTAAATACACAGTAAATACCAACAACAGAGACGCACAGTCACCGACTCGGGACAGACACCACCGCGTCTGAGCGTGTGTTTAATTTCATGTTCGTAGACATTTCCCTCACCTCCTCGTCGCTCTCCGTCTCCGCCGTCTTCTTCTCCTTCATCTTCCTCTTTTCGTCCTCCTTCTTCTTCTTGTCTTTGTCCGGCAGGATGTCGTCCAGCCAGGCCAAGTCGTGTTGTGAGAAGATCACGTCCAGCAGCTTCCGGACGACCATCAGACCCAGAATCTGCACACAGAGTATCCACTTACTGAAAGGAAGGATCCTTGTTTGTCTTCACGACAGCCAGAATTCATCAAGGTGCTGCAGACACCGGAGACGACGTCACCGTGTTCTCCCTGCGACACACTCACCATCACTGGGAAGATGATGGCCAGGAACGTGGACTTGAGGATCCAGAGGACAGCCAGACAGACGATCTGGACCAGGGTGAAGAGGTGGACGCGCCTCAGAGGAACGTGACGCAGGAAGGAGAAGTCCGGCTGGTGTTTGGCTGGCATGAGGTAGAGCTTGATCCGCTCCCAGAACTGAGACACAAAGACACAGAACATGTTTCTCAGAGGTTCTCAGTCTCACTAGCCAGTACGAAAGAAGTTTAAACATCACAAACAAGCTAGTTTCAGCTTTTAATTTGGAGAGATATCCTGCTTCTCTTTGTCTTATGTAAGAGTTAATAACTGAATATTTTGGGGGATTTGTGTTCAGGATTTAGGAACTAATTCAACCGCCGCACGACACAGATTTTTCTTCCTCCAGGTGGAAGCGTTCCTGCAGGTTTCATGATCTATTCTCAGTATTAGTTTAATAAAAACAGTGACAGGACAATATCAACACTAGTTTGATTTTTCTTATCATTGACAGTCAGATCTGTTGTTGACCTGCAGAGGTCTGTGCAAATATTGTGAATATAAGTGATTTATGATTATTTAATTTTTCAAACAAAATTACCAAATATTTGATGCTCCCATGTTTCCAAATGTGAAGATTAGCTGCTTTTCCTGGTTTCATGTTACAGTAAATTGTTTCTCTCACATGTTCTGATGATCATTTTTCACGTTTTTCTGTTGTTTTACTGACCAAACAACTAATCCAGTTGATAGAGAGAATAATCATTAGTCCCAGTTCTGCTACAGATTGCAATTCCCATGGAGTAAAAACGGAGGTAAATGTATATAATCTTCACTCTACCTGGATGCCACTGAGTGAGGCCACTCCCATGTAGAGGAAGACTCCGTACAGGACCGGCATGGGGATGTACTGCAGTGAACAGAGGAGCAGATGTTAAAATGTTAAAGTGAAACCAACTGATGTTATAGAAAGATCAACATGTCCGCCGACTGACCTGAAGGATGGGCGCGAGGAAGATTGAGAGTCCAGTCATAACGAAGACCAGAATACCCGTCAACCTCTGCTCCCTGGAATTAAACAGATTGTTTCATTAATGCAGCCAGTGGAAAACACACACACACACACACACACACGGCTGAGACCAGAACTTCCTGGGTCAGGACGGTCTCACCTGACTCCCAGAAACTGCGGCTGCTCTCCGGGGGCGCTGGACTCGCTCTCCATCTTCAGAGAGTCGATGTGGGCGATGGAGATGACGGTAGCCGCCACGTACCAGGGCAGACCCATGAAGGAACACACGGCCATCAGAACGCCGACCCAGAACAGGTCCAGGTGGTAGCCACAGCCTTTCTGCAAACGGGTGCAAAGACAGGAAGTGACGACAAATCATTCAGATCCAGGGCCGGACGATTTCAGGATAATCATATCATATATTACTAACATTTCTCCTCCGGCTGTCCTCTGATTACAGACCTTCAGTTTGTTCTCCTTGCGGTTGACGATGACGGCGCTGATCTGCTGGTCCATGAAGATGAGGATGGTGACGAGGAGAGCGGGAACGAAGCTGGCCACATACCACCACCAGGGGTTCTTACCGAACGGCATCACCAACCAGCCGCGGTCGAGACGCGTCGGCTGCAAACACAAAGACGCAGAGAGAAGTCATGACGGAGCAAAGGCGTGCAGGTGAACGGGTCACTGCGCTAATCTAACTTCACAAATCTAAAGCTACACATCTACATTAGTGATGGTGTAACTAAACAGACCAGCATGCATTGGGGCAGGAAGTATCCAGGTCATTTACTAAAGTAAAAGTGTCAATACAACAATGTAAAAATACGGATTGATGAGTGCAAATACAGAAGTCTCAGTAGAATCACCGTAAAAGTACTTAACTACTGTAGTTACAGTATCACCGTAAAAGTAGTAAAAGTACTTCCCGTAGTTAAAGTATCACAGTAAAAGTACTTCCTCTAGTTACAGTATCACAGTCAAAGTACTGCATTGTGTTATATTGTATTGATTTTACCTCTTTGGGTCTTGAACAGTTATTTAAATGAAACCATGTGAGAAGTTTTTTATTGTGCTGACAAACTTCTAGAAAACTGAAACATGAAACACTGTTTTTTGTAAGAGGTCACAATTCATAAATGTTGGAAACTACTGGTTTAATGACTGAAATCTTATTTTTAAATGTAAACTCTTAATATCTGAAACGTGACCAGTAGCTGTGGCCGTCAGATTAAAGCAAACACTTGTTAAAGTTGTAATTAAGTAAATGTACTCAGTTACTTTCCCCCACTGCTGACATGCACACCAAACAAAGAAAACACAGATACACATGCAGGAGGGAAGTCACATGTTCACATGTTCTAAGAAAAGGAGACACACACTTCTACACACGATTTAGTGACAAATCAAATACCTTGAACTCAGTTGGAACGATTAGTTTGGGTGTGTCTAACCCAATCAACATATCCAGACCCACAAAGCACATGATTGACATGAAGATGGCAAAATCACTGATTAGCTTCCTCAGCTACACGTCCATCAACGCACGCACACACACACACACACACACACACACATGCACGCACACACACACACGCACACACACACAGGGAAAACACAGGACAAACAGAGACGTGGGGATTGACAGTGAGGAGGGGAGATGTGAAAAAATGTGTGCACATGAGGAAATGAAGACAAGAGAAAAGAGAAGATGAACTCGAAAAATAAAATCTTCACATTAATAAATCCACATAAAAAACAAAAGTCTGAAGTGAAATGTATAAAAACTACGTCGTCAAGGAAGGAAATGAATCCGAGCAGGGACACAAAAAGACGGGAAAAGGTCGACGGAGGTGATCGGGGTGAGAGCGGACCTTGATCTCAGTGGGCACGTGCAGTTTGGGGGTGTCCAGCTCCAGCAGACGGTCCAACCCACAGAAGACCAGGATAGAAATGATGATGGCAAAATCACCGATCAGATTACGGAGCTGGAGCACATGCAGGGAGAGCAGAGAGGAGGAGAGAGAACATGGGAGAGGATACTCTGCTACAGGTACGGGAGGTTTACAGGTGCTGGTTTGGACAAGGGGTGGAGCCGAGGATGAGGACGAATGAAAGCTGCTGATAATTCATGCGGGAATAGTTCTGGTGATTTTCTTTATTTTTCTTATTGTGAACTTTCTGATTTCAACTGCTGGTTCTTACTGAGAATGTAAATATATACAAACATCACAAATTTACAGTAAAGTATTTGAAGTGTGGCGACATCATACCAGTACGTGAACAGTCAATATTAGTGATCAGGTGTGACAAAGTGTGAATCAAACTTAACCACGTCACACTGAGGCGACTTCACTGTGACGCATTTCGCCTGCGGCTTCCTCACGTTCAGTCAGGGTGAATTTACAAAAGCGTCTGCAGGTGTGATAAACACAGACACGTGGGACAAAATGAAGATGATAATTGGTCATGTGACCCATGTATATGTATTTTTCACACCTGTGGACCTGAAGAAGCCACAGGTGAGACACGTCTCCCTGACGTCCTGAAGCTTCTCTGCAGATTAAAATACATTTCTAACCAAAAGAAAGACTCATGACACGACTCTTACGTTCAACAAACACTTTCTCCTCTTGTGACAATGAGAAAAATAAGGAATATCACTATTTTCATGCTTTGATAAATGACAAGAATCCATCGTTTCACATGCAGGTGAACGTGTTTTCAGCCTCTAACAGCATGACGGCGAGGCCGGCGTCTTACCTTCGTGGGGAAGTAGCGGCTGAACTTGAACTTCTTGAGAGAAACGGTCATGGAATAGGTGCCAAAGAAGAGGATGAAGGACATGAGGGCCAGGTCGGGAACATACTTACAGGAGTTCCCCACCAGCGTGCCGCCATACTTCACACACTCTTTCTTACTCAGCTGACTCCAGTCCATGTCTGTCAGGTTAAACTACAAAGACAAGACACGGGTGGAGGAGGAGGAGGAGGAGGAGGAGGGGAGAGGGGAAGGGAGGGGGAGTTGAAGACATGGGGTGAGGAAAAGTGGAGGAGTGGGTCGAGGAGGAGGGGGGAGGAGGAGAGGAAGCCGACGCAGAAGAGAGAAAAGACAAAGCGATAACAGAAGAAAATACAGAGCAAAGAAACTGAAGGGACCATACGCATCAAGCATTTCAGAATCAGTCCTGAACGTGACGGTCTGTGTTTCCATTGATAAAGCTGTGTTTCCTCCTCTCTCCATATCGTTCCAATTAAACGTGGCGATGGATTTCCGGCATCTGCCTCTGGGTTGGACGTGATTACGGCAGGCAGGAGTGTTCCCATTTAAATTTAACAAGACGCTGCTTCGTCTAATCGTCTGAAAAACCACCTCGTGTAAATGTATTAGAAATGTTTCTGCAACATTGAGGTTTTTTTTTGTTTGCAGTTGCACATGAAGCAGGTTAACGGAAACGCAGCTACACACTGAGGAGAGAGTGTGACATCGCAAAGGTACAAATCAGGATGAGGTGGTGGAAACAGCGACAGAGCCAACATTTGATTTAGTAATAACACCACTTATATATACAGTATATTGGCCACGGTAACAGGTTAACAAGGTTAGGATAAAATTATGCTAAAATGAATAAACAGCTCAAATCTCAGTCCAGTTCAAAAATGTTTATGGTCTGTAATATCAGCCAGTGTCGGCTCCCTGCGTATTTCTCCAGTCAGACATGAACATATGATTATAGAGATTACAGCCCAGATATTTCTGATAAATAAAAACCCTCTTTTAGATTCTACTTGTTGTGAGCTGAGGTTTCCTTTATAGGAGACACGAGTCATTCACTAAATGAAGGAAGTTGATAAAAGGCGTTTACTCATAGTTGTAGAAACCAAATGTTCCTTCCTGTTCTGACTGATTTCTTCCTGAGATGCTTGATAAACATGGATCAGATTTCTGTAGGTCAAACTGCAGCCATGACGACAACATACAACTCAGTTACTTGAGTGCAACTTAGGCAGCCGCCTTCCCGAAGAGGAAGATACGATGTTAATCAGAAGCTTCTGGTGTTGTGTCACTTACCAACAGAGTCATGTTATCATCTGAGAGCGGAGCTGAAACATTCAAGCCCAGCACAGATGCTAAAAAAACAACAGAAAAGAAAGGATGAGTAACACACAACTTTCCCTTTCAGTACAATTTCCCCTGGTTAAATCCCAGCCACATTTTTGTCATCGTTCAACAGCGTTTACCATGGTCTGTCCATGCATACTCACTTTTTCAGACAGCGTCCAAAAGTGAGGCAGAAACAGAAAAGTCACATGAGTAAAGACCAAATATTTACATCTATTCACACTGAAATATCTCCTTAATTATTTATTATGTGGACATGACGAGCTAATGATTTCCTGACAGTCAAGTCATTTCCTCATTATGTTGATGATGATAAACTGAGAAACGCTGTAGCTGTCCATCATTTTAACGACCTAGAGATTATAAATAAATTACACAACACTTTACATGTGTCAGGTGAAAGGAAGAGTTTAACATTTTGGGGAAAGTCTTATTTGTTTTCTGCCCAACAGCCTGGAGTCAGGAGGTGGTTAGCCTAGCTTAGCATAAAGACTGGTTGGCTGAAGCAGCCTGGCTTTGTCAAAAATCCACCTAACAACTTGTTTGTTTAATTCGTACTCAAACACAAATGTAAAACAAACTATTAGTGACTTCAGGAGGAGTTACACGATGTCGTCATTTCCTGATGAACAGTTTAACCGTCCAGTAAACACTTGTCACTAACTGTTGCTGCTACATGTTCGTCAGTGCGTGTCTTAGACAGAGAGATATGTTTGTTGTTTCCCCCCCAACAACATCCTGACTCCAGCAAATTTAAAAGTACAGGAGTGAACATTCGTCAGCTCCATCTCTAAATATTATATTTGTCAAACCAGTTGTTCAAGGGGCCATTTATGAACTTTTCAGAAGAGGAATAAACTTTAACTCAGACAAAAGAACAAGACAGAAAGAAAAACAGAGTCTGAAGACTCACCCTGGTCTGGAGCGATGCATTCACATTTGTAGGCCGTGATGTAGTCCGGCTTGAAGCCGCGGTTAATTGGGTAATACTTAAAGGCTCCTACCTGTGGAAGAGAAAACAGTTTTTTTTTCTCTTTTAATAACTTTAAAATATAATCCAAGTGTTGTTCATCTGTGTCGTCCCAGTGGAACTGACGTGTAACATGTTACCCACCATCTTCTTAATGGCATCAGAGATGAATATGAAGGAGATGAGGCTGGAGAACCCCTCCTCTGTGAAGCGGGTCATGTACTTGATGATGTAGCTGGCGTCCGTGATGACCAGCAGGAAACACTGCAGACACGAGTGAATGCCGATCCACAGACGCAGCTCCATGTAGTCTATATCGTTATTCCTGCGGAGGGAGCGAGAGTTAAAGAGGCGAGGGCTCGTATCCGGCCGTTTGTGTTGCGTGCGTCCGTGTGCGCGTCTTACTTGCTGAATTCATAGAGCAGTTTTTCAAAGATGAGAATGGGTCCGGTCGAACTGAGGATGATGAGAGGTTGTCCACCAAACACACAGAAGACAGTTCCTGCCAAAGCCGTGCCGAGGAAACTCTCCATCACACCCTGACAGGAAGGGGGGGGGGGGGGGGGGCAGAGAGAAGTCAGTTTACCTGAGAGGTGAGCGCTGGCTGGAGCGTTTCTGAAATGGCTCGTTAGGTTTTATGAGCACCTGGTAATTGTCGGTAGCATCCCCGAGCAGTCCTCCAAAGGTGATGGCGTTTGTGATGCAGCCCAGGTAGATGAAGAGCACGGCAGAGATGGACTGGATATGGAAGCCATCGTAGATATCGCTACAATACCACGGGAGCTTCCTTTTCATGTCCAGCCACAATCCACCAGCGAACCTGTTAAAGCAAAACAAGGTGGAGAGCAGCGTCAAGAACCCGGACATCAACTGGACCCGGTGACATACGATCAAAGTCCACTCCGGTCCTCTCCCACCTCCCGGTGAATTTCAGCTCCTCTCCGAGCTCGTGCGGAGCCGGAAGCTCTTCGTCCTCTCCTCCAGCCGCTCCGCCCGCCGAGCCGTTCATCTGACCCAGCTCGTTCAGGTTCAGCACCGACTTCCTGGGATGAAGATAAAAATGAGAAATCTGTTTTTACTCGACAGCTTCTTGAATCTTAACGGGACAAATTTCAGTCTGAAGAAGGTGAGACTCAGATAAAGGTGTGATATTATAATATTATACTTGTCTGCTTTATGGAGGACCAGGGACGTCACAGGAAGAGTAATGAAGTATTTCTTTAATTTCATATTTTGATAGGCATTAAGAATAGGAATTGTAAAAAGAATTTATAAATGAACGATTAATCTATCAAGACTAAGATTAAAAATGAAATTACAAAAACAGCATTAAAAACTCATAAAATAAACCATTTATAAATACATTTATTAATTTTTGTTATTGAATTTTGTCTATTTATATCTTATTTTAAAGTATCTTATTTTTCCACCTTACCTAAAGCACTCGGAGTTACCTCCACGCATTGCCTTCAAAACAAAACACGTGGTCATGTGTTACGTTAATGTACGTGCCTCATTTCAGCCGATGGAACCTTCTTGGGGGGTTCGATGCGTATCTTTGGGTCCCACTCCCCCGGAGGGAGGACGATCACCTCATCCAGGAACTCGTCCACGCCTGCGATCAGGTCGTCGCGGTCCCTCGCTCTGTAAGCGACGTCGCTGAACAGCTGGCGTGACACAAAGGAATAAAAATTAAAGTCGATGCATTTGAAATTGTGTACGAGTAGAAGTCGTATCAGGGCGCCACTTACGTCGTCCACCATGAGTGTAGCGATCGCTCTGCCAATCTCATTGTAGGACTTGGTTTTGCCATGAGGACCCAGCAAGATGAAGAGAAACCTGTCAGAGGAGGGAGGGTGACAGGCTGATCAATGCAACGCCACACACACACACACACACACACACACACACACACACTTCTGGATTGAGATGGAAAGGGAGACGTTAGCAACACCCACCTGGTCGGCACGGGGACCTCAGTGAGGCCTCCCAGCGTCGTGGCTTGAGCCAAACGTACAAAGGACACGAAGGGCTTGTCCAGGAAATCCACCTCGCCAATCAGGACATTGGACGCTTCGGCGTCACGAGGAATCTTCTTCATGAACTTGTTCTTCAGCTGCAGGAAGAAACAGAGACAAGCGGCGGGAGGTAACGTGTGAGTAGAAATCCCACGCTGAGGCATGTTGCACTGCGGCTGACCTCTCCCAGCGTGTCAGCGGTTCATCGGATCATGTGAGGTACAGAAAACGACAAAGACAACCAAAGCTAGATCCCTGCTCCTTTTACACCTGTGCGACGGTGCGTTCAGTTGCATCATGATGAGCAGGATCTCTTTTTTTTGGAGGGGAATATCAATACCGATCAACAAACCGAAAATATGTCGACAACCATTGGACGAACTGGCGTGAAATTTCATACAGACATTCATGGTCCTCAGAGGATGTAACCTACTGACTCTGGTGATCCTCTGACATTTCCTCTAGCGCCACCGTGAGGCCAACATCGGTCGTTTTGAGTGAAATGTCTGACGACTGATCTGCCACGTTTGGTGCAGATGTCGGATGAACTGGAGGCATCTTTGCATTATTTTGTTTGTTTGTGCTGTTGTTGTTTTTTGTATAATATATCAGAGAAGAAGCGGTGACATATATACTATATATAAGCAGTGAATCAGCGTATATGGACTTTAAATACCTCCCTCCTCTTCACTAAAAACTACAATAAAAAGACGTAAAAGAGCCAGAACGACGAACCAACAAATTATCTGGCGGCCTGCAGACCTTTATTCTGACACCACCCTCCTTCCAGTTTTTATATTCGCTTCACCGTGACTACTAAAAATCAAAAATAAACCTTTATCTTATAATGAGCATCACAGAGCTGCTGTCATGGCTGTAGACCCCGACTCCTGTTCTCCACAGAGTTAATTCCATAGGGAGAGATTGGAGGCAGCCTCACGTCTCCACGCTTGACCCTCACAGCCTGTTTGAGCTCAGTGAACCTGTCTGCAAACAGGAAGCATCTGCTCGACCTGGAGGTGCTACTCACTGCCCACAGATAGTGGGTGAGTCACGCACGCATCGTTCCTGGCTGATTATAATATATAATTAAAATAAAAACTTTATTTAAGTAGACTTTTCTTACAAGTTAGAAAGAAAGTGCTCGTTTTTTGCTAGAAAATCACAACAAATGAGCAGACAAAAACATTTTGGTCTGGGTTGTCACCAGAACAATTCCTCCAGATTAACACAAGATAACGTTTCAGACATAATTGATTTTTTAATTTAAAATAATAATTCATAATTAATATGGCAATATTGATTAGCTGCTAGCATAACCCGATCAGTATTAACATGACGATGTTTTAATAGTGTTTTGGTTTTTTACCAGGTTGTCCAGAGTCTGTAAATGTACGTAAATGGGTTTAAATCATGAGAGATGCACTGTGATCGTGTAATACTCTGACTAAGTAGTGAGATCGTAGAGATCGGCACGATCGCTGACGGTCTCATACGCCTACGGATTTGAGGAGAAGATCAGTTTTGCTCTTTGCTTGCAGGAATAAAGCCCATCGCCACCCTCGAGACACGAAACCGTCACCGCTAGCTGGCAGACATAAGAAAATCTCCACACATCTCCAGTAAGTGTGTGTGTGTGTGTGTGTGTGTGTGTCGCTAGAGTGTTGTGGTGTTTTGTGCTACATTTTCAACTAATCTACAGTTCAGCAAAGTAAAAGGTTTGACCGTTTACTTTAGCTACCAAACACTACACTACATTCCTAAATGCTTCCTCCTGCTTTTTCTGCCATTTGATCAACCAACCTGTTATACGCTGTCCTTCTTAAAATTCACCGTCTTCGTTTACTCATCGTTTACTGCATTGCTCTTGCTGCTGGCTGTGCTGCTGCTCTGTCAGGCCGTAGTCCTCAAGACTAATCTGATCGTAGCACTCATTCAGCTTCTGGGAATCACCGCTCCACAGAAGACCTACGCTCATCGCAGTCAGCAGCCTTGGCGCGCCTGCGTGAGTCTGAACACACACACAAACACTAACAACACACACAACACACACACACAACACACACCACACACAACGACACACACACACACACACACACACACACACATACATACATACATACATACATGCACAGTGAGTTCCCACCTTTTTTATTACTATTATACACACTAGTTGTTTATCTTCAGTAACATTATAGACTATAAACAAGTGGTTAACATCCTTTTCGTGGGACCCTTATAAACAAAATCTGTGTGAGTGTGTAAATCAGTCTGAGACACTTCCGCTCTAAATTCACAAAATAATAAAACATTATCTCACGACCCCTCAAGTATTATCTTGGTGACCCTTTGGAGGGGTCAGATCCTCAGGTTGGGAACCACTGGACTCTAGTAGTTAAAGCAGCTCCACCTGGAACATCAATGACTCACAATGTCATTTATAATGATATATCAGTCACAGGGCAAATTTATTGCAGAAAAGTACTTTTACTTTGAAACTTATGTAGTTAAATTAAAAGGTACAGTTTTACTTAGGCAATGAATAAAAACAGTGTTGGCAATAAACACAGATGTAATCAATACACAATTTAAACAAGAAGATAGTCTGCCTTACAAGTTTACACACACCCACACGACCCTTTTAAGTCGGTATTCTGAATCTAAGGACTTTTACTTCTAATGAAGTATTTTTACATTGTTGTTTTGTGTGCTTTTCACTGACTCACACGTTCTTAACTTCTCTGCTTTACTGTAGCGTTTTAATCGACACTGATCCAGCTAACTCCCAGCTATGCATGGTTTCAACACTTGAGATGGCTTAGTGTGTGTGTGTGTGTGTGTGTGTTGTGTGTGTGTGGTGTTGTGTGTGTGTGTGTTGGGTGTGTGGTGTGTGTGTGTGTGTGTGTTGTGTGTGTGTGTGTGGTGTGTTGTGTATACTCACCATTGAACACAATGTGTTGACATAATGTGTGTGTTACTAAGAGATTGTGGTCCTATTGTGGTGCACCTTCACCTCTGCTGATTTCTTTCTGTGAATCTATCTGGGTGAAGGGGATTATCAGAGGATTTTTGGGCTCTGCTGTTGTGTTCTTGTTCTTTCTCTCTGTTCGATTTTGTTTGTTTCCAAATCTGCTTTGAGGGGGGAAAAAAAGAAAGGAAAATGGGTCATTAAATATAATCCTCCACAGAAACACTATGAAAACTGGCTGATAGTCTAGATTATAGAACACGCTGTGGACGTACTTGAATGTCCCCTCTGTTGTTCTGTATAAAACTTTAATTAAAAGATTATCGCTTGTATGCTGATACAAATATCCTCGAGGACAATCTGCAGCATGTTGTTGTGGTTTAAAATGTCAAATATAAGTGTTATTGTGGTTCATTTACAGATCCGCGCCGACCGAGCTCGAAGGATGGAACGATCATATTCAGATCACACCGAGACAGACAGGTAACTGTTATGTTTGAATTTGATAAGTATTAGGTTGTGTGCAACAGGAGTGGAATTTGTATGCAGTATTCTGTATTTATATTCTATAGGTTTCACACGTGAACGAAACTCCATGAAAAGAACAAAAACCAACCACACACTCTCAGACTTCCAAACCATGTGTGCTGCGGCTCAGCCCTCAAGTCCATCGCTTCTCCTACTGAAGATTTATAAACATTATAAAGTCATCAAAAACCTCACATATAATAGTTTCATTGTTTAAAATATGTCTCATTAATTTCCTCAAACCGCTGCTCTTGTAGTTTTCAGCAAAAGTCACTCAAGAGAGAAGAGAAATAGAGCATCTGTTGGGAACTATTTTTAGGGGGATTAATACACATTTTGGTGCTCTAGTGAGGATTTGTGTTTTAAGACTCTACGGCTTCAGAGCTCATATAACTGGGTTCAAAGGTTCCTATAATGTTTCATAATTCATGGAAATGAGAATTGAAACTCTTACACGCTACAAAATAGGTGCTATAGATAATTTCATCATCCACAGAACTAACACAGATACTTTAACACTGATTTACATGTGTTGTGTTTACAGTTCAACGATTCACTTACAAGTACTTAATTACTTACTTTCCCACTTAATCCTTAGCGGTATGAAGCTTTGCAGACAGTCGTGAACAAAATGTGACGTTGGTCAGAGAGCAGCTGGTGAACATTGGTGCAGCGTTAGCAGCTAAAGAGCCAGATATTTTCCTCAAAGCTGCTGGAAACCAAACACTGGACTTATAGATCATCAGCTGACACAAACACCACAACACATGGATCATCATGTTGATGTGTAACAGCTGGATGAGGAGATAAGCAGCTGTTTCCTTACAAATTCACCATATCAACTTTTTAGTTCCCAAATTTCCCAAAAAATAAATGAATAATTAAAAAGTTCTAGCAGGTTTAAACTCTTTAAAAAATGCCAAAGGATGTTTTTTCCACAAACTTTTACTTTGTTGATGTTATTAAAATTATTGATAAATTATTCGATAACATGTTATTATCAGCAGTTCCTTTTTAAAACGTGGTTGTTAACACTGTAGTCCCAAAATTAAAAATAGATTCAACGTGTTAAAAGCATCTGTGGTTTAGTTTCACTTTTCATCATGAGGATAATTAGAATTAAAGCAGCAGAGGCTGAAAATCGTCTGAAATACTGGGTCCTACATTTCCCATAATGCACCTCATTGGTATTCTTCGTTAGACAGAGAGCGCAGTCATTATGCAGCTGTTTTCAGTACGATCATGATGAGTAAACTTTGGCGTGTAATATTGTTGGAGTTTGTGTCTAGAGGTATACACAGTCACCGTCTGAGTTGTTATTGATTTGTTATTGATTTGTAATCAGCTGATCTCCTGTCGCCTGTGGGAGAATAACAATGGATTGTTTTCAGTCGTGCGCACAGTTAACAGACGCATGAGGTGACACATTCTCTCACCATTTCCGTGTGTGTGTGTGTGTGTGTGGTGGTGTTGTAAATGAAAGAGTTGAGCTGTTTTATGAGGTTTTCAGAATCATCTGAAGCACTTAATCCTTCTAATCCACACCCCCCACCCCCCGGTAGCTGAGGTGGGAATTTGGTAAATTATGTCTACCTGCACGCGTTGTTGTGCTTGTGCTTGTGTTTTTGTGCGCAGATCTCTAAGCTCTGTTCTTTCCTAGAGCTTAATTGTTTGAATCTCTAACCCAAAAAGTGCAGCAGTGAAGAATATTCAGTGTCACTTGCTTTTCCTTTTGGTTTGTGCCAAAGTATGCAGCGACTCGAAACTCAGTTTCACTGTATTCATTGTTAACCAGCACGCATAAAGAAGTATGCTGGTGTGTGTGTGTTGTGTGTGTGTGTGTGTGTGTTGTTTGTCATTGGGTAAATATCTTGACAAGAACTTCAAAGCCAGTAAGAATGAACTCCTGCATGTGACCCCTGAGTCTGCTTTAATTATTTGTTCACAGACGCTGCGTGGCGCCTCCAGCTGCCTTTAATCTGACCAATATCCCACAGTAAAGTACATCCCATAATAACACGTAGTGCCCGCTGGAGGAGGAGTATATACACCTACCAGAGGAACCTCACTGCTCAGCTACCGTGTGTGAGATCGAAACGTCTTGTTCACGGTTGCTTTGCACCAAAGAAGTTAGAGAGTGAGTGAACGAGGACAGTTGGTAATTGACTCTGAAGCAGCATTAACAGATTATAAAGAGGTTTTTAAATTTTTAAGCACCCACCACTCCACTGCCACGTGCTTCCTTGGTGAGGAGGAGGAGGAGGAGGAGGAGAAACGTTGATTGAGACTGAGTGATTTTTATACTATAAG